GGGACGAGGAGGAGGAGGAGGACGATGAAGGATGACGAGAAGGGGGAAGAGGAGCAGGGAGAGGAGGAGGAGGAGGAGGAGGAGGAGGAGAGGCTGAGGCAGGAGCAGGAGGAGGAGGAGGCAGGAGGAGGAGGAGGAGGAGGAGAGGAGGAGGAGGAGGAGGAAAGGGCAGGAGAGGGGAGGAGGAGGAGGAGGAGGAGGAGGAGGAGGAGGAGGAGCGAGGAGGAGGAGGAGGAGGAGGAGGGAGGAGGCGTTCCTGGCTGTCCCTGCGCCGCCCCCCCCCTGCCGACGGCGAGGTGGAGTGGGACCGCACCTCGCAGTGCTCCGTGCCCGCCTCCCTCGACGAGGGGTCCCTGTATCCCGTCGGGCTAGAGCCCCGCGCTCGGCCACCGCGGGGGGGCGCCGCGGGCATGGCCAGGGCGCTTCCCATAGCGTTCCATCCCTGTCCTCTCCTCCCTCCCGTCCCTCCCTCCCTCCTCCTCCCTCCCTTCCTCTCCACTCCCCTCCTCCTCTCCCTCCTCCTCCCCCTCCTCCCCTCCCTCCCTCCCTCCCTCACTCCTCCCCCCTCCCCTCCTCCTTCCCCTCGCCCCCCCCCCACCCCCCCCCCCCCCCCCTCCATCCCGTCCCTCCCTCCCTCCATTCTCCCTCCCTCCTCCCCCCTCATCCCCTCCTCCCTCCCTCCACCCCCACTCCCCTCTCCTTATCCTCTCCCGCCCCCCTCCCTCCTTGCCGCTCTCCCTCCTCCCCTCCTCCGCTCGGTTCCGTGCCTCGGCGACGGCGGCTCCGGAAGCTGGCACGACATGAGGATGGCTACGGGAGAGGCGGTCCTGCGCGGCGCGGCGGGCGCTCGTGTGGCGGCAGACCGCCTCGTGTCTCGGCTCAGCCGCGAGCTGGCCGAGGCAAAGCAGCGGTGCGCGGCCCTGGAAGCGGAGCTGGCGGCGCGTGCGGGCTCCGGATCCACGGTGGCCGCCGAGGTGGAGCGCCGTGAGGCGATTGCTCGACCGGCGTTGGTTGCACGACTTCAGGGCAGCAGCGTACCCCATGGAGCTCGCCTACGCAGGAACGTGGCGCTGCATTCGCTGGAGTGCCCGCCCGCCTCGGCGCCGCTGGCGAGCTGGCGGCGGGCGCAGCGCGGGCAGCGGCTCGGCTCGACGGACGTCGTCACTCAGCCGTCCCTTCGAGCTGACGCCCCGCCTTTCTGCCCTGGTTCGGGCCGCTGGGAGGTCCTCCCCCCGCCGACGGCGCTGGGCTGGCTCTGCACATGCGGCGCGACCCTCTTCGGCGACTCCGCCGCGGGCTCCCCTTCTCACCACGAAGACGGTCAAGATGATGGTTTCGCCGAGCTTGCTGAGCGCGGTGACGTGCATCTTCACCGTCGTCTGGCTGATATTCCCCTCGACGTTCGTGCATCTTGCGTCCCTGATCCTGGTGTACGCCCTGGTCTTGTACGTGGTGCTGAGTGGTGGCAGGCCCGTCAAGCCATTGCCAACACATGGCTTGTCCAAGATGCAGGCGATGATCGAGGAGCAGCTGCGCCTCGTCGCGATTCCGAGCCCGCCGTGGAGACCGTCGGCGAGCTGAGGGGTGATCAGGCTGCAGCTGTTGCAGGATGGGAGTTCAGCACTGCAAGGGCGCGGCTCCTCCGCGACGCCGACGCCTTGAGATGTCCCACACCACGTTCTGCAGTCGCCACGGGGCCGCCCATCGACTGGAGCGCCATCGCGGCCCCCTCCGAGGCGGCCGTGGCCGCGCAGACAGCACCAGCGGAGGCGTCGGCCGATTGCAACCAGAGTTGAATAGTGATCTGCGCTACGTGAATGCGTCAGACGCCGCGGTGTGCTGGGAGATGTTTCGCCTTCGTCGACGCGTCCTCGTTGGCCTTCGCGGAGGCGGTCCTCTTCGAGCGCAGCGCGGTCGGGGGGTCCTGGGGTCCTCAGGTGGACTCCAGGCCCCCCGCGGTTTCAGGATATCACATCGTGATGGCGTCCACTCCACTCCACTCCACTCCACTCCCCCCCCTCGCTCCCTCATATCATTTGTGGCCTAAGATCACGTGGGCTACACGGGTTCTGAGGTGCTTTGATAGGTTCGGTAATTTCGCTAAGTGAGCGCCGCCTACTTAGTCTTATGTCGGGCCTGTCCCCCTACAGGCCGTTTTTGGACGAAAATACAATGTACACCAACGATATTCAAATCATACCAGAAATACTCAAAACATCGCCCCCATCATAGTTTGATTATGTTTAAATCTTCCTGCTGTAGAGGGACACGCGCGACTTAAACTTAGTCCAGAGCTTAAGCGGTGTGGGGCGCGTCTAACCTGCTCACATACGTTCTGTTAGGTCAGATATGAGCCATCCCAGCACCAACTTGACACCTCCTCCTCCCTTGGGCACCTCCCGCGGTCATCCCAGCTTCCTTCCCTGCACCCTCCGCAGTTGCTGGGAGCACTGGATGGCGGTCACCACGTGAGTCCGCCCACGTCGCACATTTCAAGGCCACGGCTTCCATGCCCCATGCCCTGATGGGCACGGGCGGGCTCCCCAGAGAAGAGCGCACGACTCCATTGCTCGCGTGGCGTTGCTTCGCCTCCCCCCTCCCCTCCTCGCCCCCCCCCCCCCGCCTCCCTCCCTCGCTCCCCCCTCCCTCCCCCCTCCCTCCCCGTCCTCTTTCGCCCATGCGTGTCAGCCAGCCCATGCTTCTGATTCTCTTTATCCCTCAGCCTCCTAATTAGGGGCTCGGAGGCGAAAGCCACACCGAGCACGGCACCATTCGCCAATGTCCGATTCCCCTGATCGCACGACAGTCAGAGGAGCAAGGAGACATGATAGTGATGCGTCTCAAGATTCCCCAGGTTTCCAGGACTTCTGGGATTTCGAATTGGTCCTCACGTGTTCAAGACACGGGAGCCCCGCTGGATATGTTTTTTTACAAGCGCGACGGGAGCCCCGCTGGATACGTCCTGGAGCTCCTAGAGCGCCTCCGGAGCCAATCGCAGCATGCCATCGTTCTCGGCCTGGCCCTTCCCTCCCTCCCTCCTTCTGTCCCCTCCCCTCCCTCCCTCCCTCCTCCCATACCCTCCCCCTCCTCTCACCTCCCTCCCTCCCCCCGCCCCCTCCTCTCACCTCCCCTCCCTCCCCCTCGTCCCTCCCTCCCTCCCCTCCCCTCCTCCCTCCCCCCCACCTCCCTCCTTGGAGGAGGCTGGGAGGAGGGAGGGACGGGGGAGAGTGCCTGGACCCTGCCTGGCCGCCACGGTGCGACTGCTCCTCGTGCAGAGCTCCAGGGGCCCTGCAGCGCAGCGCGCGCTCGCGCGGAACCCCTGCCGGGGGCGGCCTCAGCTGCGGAGACTGCTGGGCCCTGTTCGGAGGCGGGGGGTTCTCCATAGCCACCGCCTGGGCAGGCTCGATCTTCGGGGTCCGTGGCAGGCTGTTGATGGCGGCATCTTTGGGCCCTCGGGGGCCAACACCTGCCCTACACCGCTCTCAGGGGCCGGATATGGACACGTTCAGGAACTCTGGCTCGGCGTGTTGCTCCGCCAGTTCTGGCCCGCCGCGCTCCAGCGCGACACGCTGTTCCACTCCTTGGTTCAACGCGTCCACGTGCCGAGCTTTTCCCAGACTGCCGCCTCGCGTAGCCGAGCGACACGCCATCCGCTCGCAAGGCAAAGTGTGTCGCCAGAGCCGCCGCCGCGTCACGCTGAGCAAGAGCTCCCGACAGGGAATTCCCTTCTCAAATTTGTGGCCAGGCTCTAGGGTTGCTACAGTTGCCCCCAGCTCTTCGTTCACTCTTGGAGACCCTGGGGCCCTCTGGGCCTCGCGAGGGGGGCTCCGTGGGCCAGGGGCACTTCTAGCAATTCCCGAAAGACCTCTGCCGATCCGCGGAGGCGGGGGGATGGACGATCAGCGGGGGGCGCCTCCGAGGTCCCGGTTCGCGCACCTCTTCGACTCCCCCTTGCGGAGCCAGAGGCCCGGGAGGAGGAGGAGGAGGAGGAGGAGGCGGAGGAGGAGGAGGAGGGGAAGGGGGGAGGAATGGCAGTAGCGTCAGCAGCATAATCCACGGCAGCAAAATCAACCTCGGGTTTCTATCAGGTCGCAGAATCCAGGTGCAGGGGGATCTCTTTCAAATAAGACTTAACATCATGATGCAGGTTGAGGTAGCAGCATCAGCCGGAGGCGGGTCGGGGGAGCGTTGTCTGGGACGAAGACGGAGAGGCCCCCTGGGTCCCCCGCAACTTCTTCCCCTCCCCCCCGTCGTCTTCCCCTCGCACTCCTGCGCCCTTGCCCCTTCCCCCCCTCCCTTTCGGGTCTCCCTCTCCCTCCCAACCGTTTCCGCGCGGTAGCCGGAGCAGCAGTATGAGAATGCATGCGAGCAGCGGCCGGAGGCGTTGGATGGAGGTGGAGGAAGCGGAGGAGGAGGAGGAGGTGGAGGAGGAGGAGGAGGAGGAGGAGGAGAAGGGGAGGAGGAGGAGGAGAAGGGGACGAGGAGGAAGAGGAGGAGGAGGAGGAGGAGGAAAGAGGAGGAGGAGGAGCAGGAGGAGGGAGGAGGAGGGAGGAGGAGGAGGAGGAGGAGAAGAAGGAGGAGGAGGAGGAGGAGGAGGGAGGAGGAGGAGGAGGAGGAGGAGGAGGAGGAGGAGGAGGAGGAGGAGAAGAAATTTGATGGATGATGGACAGTACGCGTTTTTCAGATGGGAGAGATACCAAGTGGGAGTGTGAGGGGGTTGGCAGGTCCTGTCCGAGATCTAATCGCTTCAATGTTTGGCCATGTTCGGCCCCAGGCGGCCCAAGACAGCCCCAAGAGCGCCCACGACGGCCCAAGAGGCACCCAAGACGGTTGAAGACACGTCCAAAACGGCCCAGGGAGGCCCAGGAGGACCCTAAGACGTCCCAAGAGCGCTCGAACGGCCCAAGATGCAAGACGGCGTTAACGGCCTTCCAGACGCTCCAAGAGGCCCTCCAGAGGACCCTCAAGAGGCAAACATTGTCTTATCCCTTCGGGGGAAG